TTTTGGTTTTTTTTGCCTTTTACTTGAAGTTATCATCTTTTCTAGTGGTAGTCCTGATTATAAGGATAGGGAATACCAGTTAAGCCTTTTAAAATATTATTTGCAGATTTATAAAAGGTTAGAGAGAATTTTGAACTTTACCCACCACATTATGGCCATCATTAGAAAGTAACCAGTTAGGCACATACATCACATTGTGGTATCTGAGATGCCGCAGCTGTGGACTGTAATTGCATCAGGCTGTGGGGCATATCCTTATCTGTTCCAGAGCTCTGCTTAGTGTGGGGAGTGGATGGTGCAGGGGCATGCCTCAGACAGCAGGTTCCAGCTCTCATATTTTGAGAGCCGGCTCTACACCCCTCAGAGCTGTTGCCAGGAACTCTAAATTACATCACTGATTTGGGGTCTTGAGCCTGTGGAGGATTGGTGTGTAAGCAGAGTCAGAATGAGCTCTACCCTGACATCTGATGGTGAGCTGTGGAAACGGACTTCAGAGGCTGATCTTGTTTGCATTGGCACACCCACCCTGCCTAGCATGATGGACTGATTGCTCAAATGGTCACTTTGGCTGCTGTGGGATCCCCAGTCTCTTTGTTATTGGGGCAGGAGTAATAAAGTGTTATCCTGGTTAGGTGAATCAAGGACAGTAGAACTGTACTTGGTATTTTATGACTGAGGGACTCACCCTCAACTAAGTAGCACTCGCTAGGCAAGAGACATGGGTTCCAAAGCCCAGTGAATTGAGAGAGGCTGGGACAGGTATGTGTACCTGGTAGTGTGGACCCCTTCTGAGGGCCCCAAACACCACTTTGGCCCCTCTCTCTTTGCGGTGTAATAATAGAGCTAATTTTGACTCAGTTAGAAGTCTTGTTAGGTGCTGCAGAGCTGAAATCACTGATTCCTAGGTCTAAGCATTAGACCTACTTTGGGCTAGTGGTTCTGAGTGCGCCAGCACTGAGGCCCCCCTACTAACAGATGAAATCACTGAGAGCTGAAGTTACCGAGAGCTGAAATCACTGGTGTTAAGTAGGGGTGGGGCCTGAAGACAAGTTGGTGAGTGGCTAGCAGGACAGATAGCAGAGTGAGGAGTGGATAGCAGAGAGGTGCAGCTAGTGGAGAGGAGCGGCAAGCAGGACGGCTGGTGGAGAGGCGCAGCTGGCGGTGAAGACAGTAGCAGAACCCCACGGAGAGGTGTGGCAATCGGCCATCAACCTGAGCAGTGGCGTATGTAAGATGCCCCCATACCTCCCTCCACTTCCAGGTAAACTCTGCAGATGAACTTCTGAACTCTGGGGGCTGCACTGATCAAGGATAGAAACTGTGGGATGGGTGACTTTTGGGTTGCTGGACTCAAGAACCACTCTGGGGCTGCACTGACCAAGGTCAGAAACTGTGGGTGGGGGTGACTGTTAGGTTGCTGGACTTAAGACCCTGAGGGGAAAAGGACACTGCCAAACTTACTTGGGGGTGGGTCTTTTGCTCATGGTTCGTGTTATGAATCCTGTTTGTGGTGTTTCCCCAACATAATGCCGCATTGTTTCCCTCCTTTATTAAAAGGCTTTTGCAACACTCAGACGTATTGCCTCTTAGAGGCACCCAGGGGGGTGGCATGTAATTGTCCCAGGTCACTGGGTGGGGGCTCGAGCCTGTTTTACATTCCGTTATTGAAACGGAACCCCTAGATACTGAACCTGGCCCTTGTTGCTGCCCTCTGACGAGCAAAAGGGTTACAGGTGCAGCGGAGTGGTGCTCGACCACACCCCTGACAAATGGCCTACATAGGGAGGTGGGGTTGTAGAGGTTCAAGGCCCAACTGCACCTAGATGCACCACCAGGGTATTGCATAGATACCAGTAGGATGATCCTTTAAGATGGGGGAATTCTCTGCTGCTGATTTGTGGCTGGATTATGACCCCTTAACACTAGCTGAGTAATGCAAAGGGGCATAACTACTCCTGGGGATATGTTAATCTGTGTATAGATAGAGGATCACTCTCTGCTGGTGCACAGCATTTACTATTCACACTATGACACCATCATAGGTTGATAAAAATTGTGTTTCCATAAGAAAACAAAAAGTCCAATAATACACAGATGGTATTTTTGTTATTCCTAATTCCCACATTTTTGGGCCAATATTTGTATTAGAAAACTAGCAGAAAACTATCTGAGATACTGATAAAGAGCTTGATTCTGTTCTACTTGAAGTCAGTGACAAATTTCCATTGCCTCGACTGGGAGCAGGTCCAAAGAGGTACTGTTTGCTGCAGCGTGGTCATGCAAATTCATTTATAACAACATCCAGGTAAGGAGGAGAGAGACTTGTCACAGAAGCGGAGGAGAACTGGAAAGATGGCCAGAACAGCTGAAGAATGATTTCCTTTCTCTTTACTTTTACAGCATACTATTATTTAAAATTCATGTATTATTAAACCACATAAATATACCATCTTATACTGTAACATAGACAACTGGTATCTACTGATAGTGGGGGGCACAATTTAAAGATTACCACCCCCCACCCCAGCATGCCCCCTCTTATGCTCAGCGGCCCCTCTCTGCAGCTCCGAGAAGTTAGCTCAGTGGGGAGAGGCAGCAGCAAGAGCAGCGGCTCTCCCTGCAGCTCCCAACTATTTTGCTGCTGCCTTTCCCCATGGCCGCAGCTTGCAGTTGGCCAGCCCCAGGAGCTGCCGTGCAGGGATGGGGCACTGCTGGCAAAGCCTGGCAGAAATGTTTTCAATTGTGCCTAAGTTACTTAGGGACACACATCCCTGTGACTTTTCAGTGGGGCCCCTCAGACATTTCAGCGCTTTTGAATATCCTACCCCTCAACTTTAGAATTTGGCACAGAGTGCCCCAAATAGGAAGAATGAAATCATATAACTTACTCAAATTTGAAATATAATTTACTTATTCTTTTGCATAGAGTCTGTCCGGTTTGGCCAATGTACATGGCAGAGGGGCACATGATGGTATCACATTGGTAGATGTGCAGGTGAACGAGCTCCTGATGTTGTGGCTGATGTGGCTAGGTCCTATGAATGAAATACTGATATTAATTTATTAGCTGATATTTTAGGTATATTCCATTTTCTCATTTAGTAGAGAAGCTGTAGCACCTCCATGCTCTGGAGCAAGACTTTGTTTGGTCGGGAGGTGACCCTGGTATCTGGCTTGCAGCTTTTGCTGGTCCCTTGAAAATTTAGCTACATTTAGCTAATTATAACACTGAAAAATCTGTTCGCATTTGTTCAGTAGAGACTTATTAGAGTTTGTCAGTTAAAATCTCTTAACATTCCACCTGCACTGAGCATGCTCTTCCCCCCAGAGCATCTACATGCACATACTGCAGACTGTCCTGCGCGTGCTACATCCGAGGGCTGCAGGGGCTAGACAGGAAATTCCCTGCCATTACTCTTCCCAGGAGCTGGGGACCACTGTGTCAACAGTCACCAGAACTAAGAGCCACTGCTGGTGCCCTGGCAATGTGGAGAAGGAGGGAGAAAGCAGCCTGACTTGAATGCAGGGAGCAAGGAGGGGAAGAGAGAGAGAGCAAGGTGAAGAGGTCAGGAGCTCAGGAAGAGGACGGGCATGGGGGGGACAAAGCTATTTAAAAATGTGAATTGCTCAGAGAACCTTAATTCTGGAATTTCCTAACTTGTGAGTCTTTTCAATGCAAGCATGAATGTAAGCAATACCTGTCACATCAACTTTTCTTTTAACATAGCTTTTTTGGGATTTAATTGAATATACAATGATAAATTTACCTTTGCCTGCAGCATCTTACATCAAAGTGGCAACATCATTTTTCTTTTCCAAGAGGCCTGAATAAAAAGAGAGCAATTTGATTTGGAGAGGAAGGCTCAGCTTCATTTTCTTTCATATTAGTCTTTTATCCATACAGTAAAGATTCATTCCATACATATAAAAACTTTGGTGTTCTGTAGGTCATAGGAAAAGGGATTATTCAGCTTTAGCTCACTCGTTTGTATTTGTCCCAGCTCACATGTCCTCACTATCAGTGCTGGCAGTATGTTGGCCTGTGTCAGATGAGTTGGTCTCAAATGCATTCCTAGTAGACAGATGTCCAAATGACACATACTTCCATCAGACCTGGCACTAATTGTCACCCTAGTTGGTAATGTCAGCAGAGAGGGTAAGAAATGAATGGAAATGAAATCTAAATTACCTTCTCCCTCACCCCAGGGCAAGAATGACCCAGAGAAGAGTGGTAAAAGGAAGCCAGCACTGATGTCCATGCTGTGCTTGTTTTGTTGATGCATGCAGAACTTCGTTTTGCAGGGCTAACAAACCAACAGCATCCACACACACAGCATGTTATAAAGGGTGTGCCTTTTGCATTTTTTATTGTTTGTTTCTTAATGAAAATCAATACAAAATTAATAGGTATGGATGATGTAAATTGGTTCAAGAGAGATTAATAAGACTGGGACTTTTCAGCTTGGAAAAGAGATGACTAAGGGGGGATATGATAGATGTCTATAAAATCATGACTGGTGTGGAGAAAGTGAATAAGGAAGTGTTACTTATTCCTTCTCATAACACAAGAACTAGGGGTCACCAAATGAAATTAATAGGCAGGAGGTTTAAAACAAACAAAAGGAAGTATTTCTTCACACAATGCACAGTGAACCTGTTGAACTCTTTGCCCAAGGACGTTGTGAAGACCAAGACTATAACAGGGTTCAAAAAATAACTAGATACATTCATGGAGGATAGGTCCATTGATGGCTATTAACCAGGATTGGTAGGGATGGTGTCCCTAGCCTTTGTTTGTCAGAAGCTGGGAATGGGCAATGGGGGAGGGGGGGCACTTGATGATTATCTGTTCTGTTCATTCCCTCTGAAACACCTGACATGGGCCACTGTCGGAAGACAGGATATTGGGCTAGATGGACCTTTGGTTTGACCCAGTATGGCCGTACATAAGATTTACTTTCTTAACATCTATTAATTGTGAACCTATATTTTTATTTCAGAGGATGGAAAAGGATATGGCCCAGTTTTTGAGGAGCAACCCATTTATACCATCTACCCTGAGGAATCTACAGATGGACAAGTTTCAATGAACTGCAGAGCTCGAGCAATCCCTTTTCCAACTTACAAGTAAACCTTTAGCTTGGTTTTGAATTACAGGGCTTGCCAGGCATTTCACACACTAAACATTTCAAGTATTATAATTTGCTGATTCTGAATAAATGAATGGTTTAGCAAGTGGATGTATAGTCTTCCTAGACACACAGGAGTTGAAGTTTGTGCATTTTTCATTAAAAAGAGTTTTTGTTATACTTGCAATGATGTCTAGGGAAGTCCTGGACAGAAAATATCAATTGTGTTTCATGAAACATTTTCAGGTTTCTTAATTTGTTTTTGGGAGCCTAGCTGTGATCTTTCAAGACAGTCCTTCATTTCCTATCAGTCAAAATCAGGGATAGCAGTGTCATCCTGGACCTGAGAAGCTTTTTAATGGAAATTTATTTTGAAAATGTTTCTACCAGTTCTAGTCTAGAGTTTCACCATATGAACTCTGTTATAATAAACCTCATATTCTTAATGAACCAGTCCATGTTGATTGATTCTTCTGTGCAAGTGTAGGATCTCATGGCTTCCATGGGTCTCTACAATAGGCTCAACACACATCAAAGGACATACTCTGGAGCTTATCTTTTGTCATGAGAGCATGGTAGTTTACATTCTTGTCATGGTCAGATAACCACCTCCTTCAAAGTAGGGACAGACTCCTAAGTCCTCTCAAGGTGAGGGACCCATTTCATTCATCTGCCCTCACAAACTGACAGACTTACTCCTCTGTCAAAAGTTGTATGAAGGAAGACACGAGTCACTGAGCCATTCTGTCAATGTCTATAATAACATTATGATCATCTACTTACTATACCATCAACACAGTACCCCCCAAATGTTCATTTTCACCTCATCATCCTTGCAGATCACTTGATTATACAAAATATCTGTGATGAATGGAGAACTTGAGAGGAGATTAGAACACTGGGGCTAGACAACTCATTCTGATTCTGATCCTTCGAAACAGAGAGAGTTCTTGCGTTCTTATGGTGATGGTGGAGGCTAATGGGGCTTTTTTCCCCCCTTACCACCATGACTTCTTCAAAGTCCAAACCAGCAGGATTGTTCATGTGGTGAACACCTTGGGGAATGTAGACTTCCACTAGGGCTGTCGATTAATCGCAGTTAACTCACGCGATTAATTAAAACAATTAATTGCAATTAATTGCAGTTTTAATCACACTGTTAAAAAATAGAACACCAATTTAATTTATTAAATATTTTTGGATGTTTTTCTAAATTTTAAAATATATTGATTTCAATTACAACACAGAATACAAAGTGTACATGCTCACTTTATATTACTTTTGATTACAAATATTTGCACTGTAAAAATGACAAAAGAATATTTTTCAATTCACCTCATACAAGTACTGTAGTGCAATCTCTTTATTGTGAAAGTGCAATTTACAAACATAGATTTTTTTGTTACATAATAGCACTCCATAACAAAACAATGTAAAACTTTA